GGAAACAATGCTGATAACAATAAAGTGCGCCTAAAAAAAACTAACCATTCTTTACTGACTATAAACACATTTCCTCTCCTCTTAGCTTCTCTTACTTTTTCAGTACCGCGCTACAATTGATTGCAATTCTAATTTATTTTAGCCAATCAAAATAAAATAACCATGAACTATTCGGTAATGTAAACTTACATCACCAGCCACAAGGTGTGTCACTTTATTATCCCAACTTGCCGAACATTGTGCACCAAACTCTGTTGCCAAAATCCATATCTCGGAACTAAATTCATTGGAAAATTTGAGGAATCAATTATATCTCGATGGAGGAGGAAAAAATATATAACTTATAATCACCTCTCTTTTCTTTGGTGAGTTGGAATTACGTGCGTAAACAAGATATTGACATCTTTTAATACTTGTTTTTTCAAACGAGGTAATAATTCAGTTAAATCGGGAGTTCGTATAGCCCCACTTTCTTGTGTAATATTTTGCAAACGGTCATATTCTTCGTAATAATTCTTATGAATATTTTTCAAAGCCTGATTATGAACGTAAAGAATACTGTTATATCACGTTATTGGAAAAGTGAAAACAGGGGCAAAAATTACCTTCAAAAGATCAGGTAACTCTGTATCGTTGTCAACGAGGACAGGCCTTTCATTTTCCATACTTGGTTTTTGATCTAATGGTGAAGATATATGCTCGAGTTTGTCATCTTCTTTGTTCTTATCACGTTCTAATTGTTGTTTCTTAAGAATTTTTTCTTCTGGATTTGGGTCATCATCTGAAATTACTAAAGTTAAGAGATGAAACATCTTCGTAGAAACAATAAATGGTATAACGACACGTACCTCCATGTGTCCTTTTGTTATTTTGTAAGGGCTTAAGTATTGATTCCGTCGACGTACTGTCTTTATTGTTCTCAACTTTAAGTTTGAGAGGCTCTTTCGGTGATTTTTCATCGCATATTGCAGAATCATTCAAATTTTCTACATTTGCTGCAAAAATTGACTCAGTTAATCGTCATACTTTCATCGTTTTAACAACTATCGAATCTCTAATTCAGTAACTCCAACCAGTTCTTTTCTTGTTGAGCAATTTTACCTTCGGTAATCGACTCAGCCTTAACTTCTAAATAATAAATAATTTATTAATTCAAGTCTAAAGCCATAGATGAATTAATATATATAATTACCTGTTTGCGCTGGTTTTTCTGTTTGTTCCGTTGAATTGGATAAATTTTCTTCTTTTGAAGCGGGTAAATGTGAAACTTGCGAAACTTGCGAAACTTCTCCTGGTTTTTGCTAAAGAAAACGTGCAGCATTAATAATTTTCACTAATTGTCGTCTTACTGAAAAATATTTAAGAAAAAAAAATTTTTTTTTACCTTTGCAAAACGAACATCATTGATATCTCCAATTCCTACAAAGAAGTCATCTTTATATTTTATCAGTCATTGTAATTAGTTATATATAATATTTCTAATAATCAATAGTACAATTTACGTTGCAAAGCAACTTACAAGGATGAACTTTGATCAGGTTAGGCGACCAACCCCAAACGTCAGCTCTATCATCAATAACAACTACCATTGAGTCGTTGCAAGGAAAAAGACGACGTATGTTCTTTTGCGTCATGCCTATATGAAAAAGGTAAAAGAAATATATATAGATATTATAAATCCACACGAAATTTCTTAGTAAAGTAAATTGATACTTACTTCCACTCTCATCTCGGGACAATATACGTTCATTGAAAATCGTTTTGTCCGGATCAATGACATTTGCTACAGAAGATGCATAATTGCGAGTACCCATGGTGTATATATGAGGTTCATAATTATCGGAAACACTTTTCAGGAATTCCTGCAACCCAGGCCTAGAATGAAATTTAACCAAATAAACAGATTAAGCATTCTTAATATATTAATTTTCATATTGCAACTAACATTTACCTTAGCTTAATGTAATATATTGTAGGACTATCGGGCAGAATAAACTTATGAATGTCTTTAGCTGTGACATTACTTTCGTCTTTCATCCAATCTTCCACCTTCGAATCGACAGTTGCATGAATTAACGTTTGATCTAAATCGACAATGAGTGATAACTTTCGCGATTTCAAAAGCCTCGTTGATGTCTCCTTTTCCAATCTTTCTGCCTCACTAAGACTTACAGTCAGTCCAGCGACATTATGAGCCATACTAATGGTGGCTCTTTGGGAGTAATCAACTCCAGTAAAATCCGTTTTCATCATATCATTACCGCATATTGCACATAAACCATGAAGTTGAACTGAGTGAAAACACGGTTCTTTCACCCCAACAACTGGCTTTTTACTAATAAAAAGGAAAATATTAATTTATGGTGAAAAAAATCAATTAGTGAATTAATTAAACTTGTTATTTTCAAGACTGCTTACTCTTCCGAGGATATAGTGTCACCTTCGCTAACGTAAAAATCTTCGAGTTCTCCTTCTGCCGGACTCTTCAATTCTTCAACGAAGGGTACTTCTACAAAAACATCCAACATTTCTTTGGTCTTTGGATGGATTGTTTGCTCCTTTATTCTTTTTATATATTCATATCTAAGTAATGGTTGTGTTTTAATAATGTTGTCACCAGGTTCAGCTAATAACCTGCAAATAGTTGCAGGCAAGTGTTCTTTTGGTATACTAATCAAAGTCGCCTCTCGAGACATTATGCTTTATAGCTCTTTAATCTATTTTAAAAGATATCAATTAAAAAAAAAAATTCGCATTTATTCACCTATCAATTCTATGAAAGGATAAGGTTTTAGTAAATAATCTTTAGTTTGAATTTGTCGAAATGAGATATTTGAACAGGAGGAAAGGGAGTGGTTTTATTGAGGTTGTGATCCTCAAAAACCGCCAATTATTTACATGGGTGGCTTGGCAAAAATCACCATATAAAAGATGGGAGATTTGGTGTCATTAAATATTGTATTATCACTTTAATAATGCCTTTCGGAGTAGAAAGAGCGTTGTACCGTGGGGCAAAGAGATACCCTATGACTTCAAAGAAGGGTCATAACTACTATAAGGGTATTTATTGAATGTTTATTGTATTAACATTATATACAAATTCATATACTTGTGGTGTATAGGTACCGGTAGTGGATCGATGGGCAGACATACTAGTAGAGGTAACATGTTATAAGTGACTACTTAGCGAGACGTTGTATGCCTCTACTAAGGAAATTTTTTGGATTTAAGGTGGTTTCATTATTGATTTACGTAAAGTTCGAACTTATGTCGTGCCCGATTTGAGTGATAATCCCGTGAGTGAAGAAATGTTTTTCGGCCTTCTAGTAAAGTAAAATTTATCGACTAATACATTCAACCGACGATTCGAAGAACAGTATAAACCCTACGTAGAACCCAAAAGGCCAATTAAATATTCCATGAGTACAGATAAATACTTGGATATGGTTAGGAAAACTTTTGATCCAACAGGTACTGTGTCCACCAAAATACAAAAATCCGAATCAGATGCAGAACCACAAAAGCATTCCAGACCTGTCCCTTCTGAATCATCCGAACGTAAAAGAGAATCTTTGTTTTAGATAGGGTAACTTAATTTCAATACAAAAAGATTCACGAGAGATCCGCCGCACGGCCTCTAAACCCGGACATTCTTTTTTTAATCTAATAGTATGGATCTTTAATTGAAAAGTGTAATCGCAAGGTTTCAATACAAAAAAATTTATAATACCATGATCTTTACTTTATATTAATAAATAAATAATCTTATATTTAAAAATAGTACCATTTCTTTATTTGTTTATATACTGTATATAGTCTGTTACAAAAGTTTTTGGACTAATATTTAATTTTTTTTTTTCAACTAGTGAGGTCTTGCCTAACATACTTTATTTAATTTACATGTGTATTTCTTATTACAAGATTTATTATCTATAGATTATTCTTATGGTCCTGAAAATTGAAATCAAATAGATTTATATAGACTCACATAAGATTCAGAACGTTATTAAAAATGATGATGGATTATAATTCATATAGTAAATTTAATACAGAGGGTACCCATATTATTGTGGACACTTTTTATTATACAATAAAATAAATTAATAAGCAAAAAATTTTTTTTTTTTTGCAAAAGGCATTAAATGCGAGATATTTATTAAACTTTTGTTTTTACGTCATTACATTAAGAATCTTTAGCATACAAAGTAAGTAGATTAATCCTAGCCTAATACAAATAAAGTTGACATATGTGAACCTTTGAGAACCCAAGTAGGG